AAGTGTATATGCTGGGTGTATATGAAGTGTATATGCTGGGTGTATATGAAGTGTATATGCTGGGTGTATATGAAGTGTATATGCTGGGTGTATATGAAGTGTATATGCTGGGTGTATATGAAGTGTATATGCTGGGTGTATATGAAGTGTATATGCTGGGTGTATATTGAAGTGTATATGCTGGGTGTATATGAAGTGTATGCTGTGTATATGAAGTGTATATGCTGGGTGTATATGAAGTGTATATGCTGGGTGTATATGAAGTGTATATGCTGGGTGTATATGAAGTGTATATGCTGGGTGTATATGAAGTGTATATGCTGGGTGTATATGAAGTGTATATGCTGGGTGTATATGAAGTGTATATGCTGGGTGTATATGAAGTGTATATGCTGGGTGTATATGAAGTGTATATGCTGGGTGTATATTAAGTGTATATGCTGGGTGTATATGAAGTGTATATGCTGGGTGTATATGAAGTGTATATGCTGGGTGTATATGAAGTGTATATGCTGGGTGTATATGAAGTGTATATGCTGGTGTGTATTGAAGTGATTATGCTGGGTGTATATGAAGTGTATATGCTGGGTGTATATGAAGTGTATATGCTGGGTGTATATGAAGTGTATATGCTGGGTGTATATGAAGTGTATATGCTGGGTGTATATGAAGTGTATATGCTGGTGTATATGAAGTGTATATGCTGGGTGTATATGAAGTGTATATGCTGGGTGTATATGAAGTGTATATGCTGGGTGTATATGAAGTGTATATGCTGGGTGTATATGAAGTGTATATGCTGGGTGTATATGCTGGGTGTATATGAAGTGTATATGCTGGGTGTATATGAAGTGTACATGCTGGGTGTATATGAAGTGTATATACTGGGTGTATATGAAGTGTATATGCTGGGTGTATATGAAGTGTATATGCTGGGTGTATATGAAGTGTATATGCTGGGTGATATGAAGTGTATATGCTGGGTGTATATGAAGTGTAATATGCTGGGTGTATATGAAGTGTATTGCTGGGTGTATATGAAGTGTATATGCTGGGTGTATATGAAGTGTATATGCTGGGTGTATATGAAGTGTATATGCTGGGTGTATATGAAGTGTATATGCTGGGTGTATATGAAGTGTATGTGCTGGGTGTATATGAAGTGTATATGCTGGGTGTATATGAAGTGTATATGCTGGGTGTATATGAAGTGTATATGCTGGGTGTATATGAAGTGTATATGCTGGGTGTATATGAAGTGTATATGCTGGGTGTATATTGAAGTGTAATGCTGGGTGTATATGAAGTGTATATCTGGGCGTGTATATGAAGTGTATGTCATTGAAGGTGTATATGAAGTGTATAGGGCGATGATTTAATGTATATCCTTGGGTGTATAGACGTTGCTACCCCTTATGCGGATGTATCCATGAAGGTGTATTATTAACTGGGACGGTTTGTGATCCAATTGAATGACTAATACCTCCATTTCAAACATTAATGCTTTAATTTGACAAATTTAGCGCTCCAAGATAATGATTTAATATAAGATTGATACACCTTTGCTTTTCGATAGAACGCGTTGCTCCTCCTTAAGATTTCGCTTGGACCTGTCTCTAAGGGAATTGAGTCTTCTCCACATGACAATCCTGTAATTGAGTCCTGAAACCTTTATTCCATCTCCCTTCATGCCGTAATTTCCTACGGAATTTAGCGCTTGCCAAGATCTACTTAAAAATAAGCATTGCTGGAAGTGGCATTTTGATCTGCATAGAAATGCCTTGTCATCAGATGTCTGAACCACTATTCCGAATTGCCTTGTTGTACCTGTCTCTAATACGGATTACTCTCCAACAGCTAACAAGTCCGTTTTGCTATCCTGCAATAAAACTGTAATTTTTCCAAATTCGTAGGTCGGGAGTTTCTGGCAATTTAGAAGCTGTACCACTTCCAAAGAGTCAGCATTTTTCTCGGATATGATGCCATAACTGTAACTAGATGCTGCCTCTGAAAAAATGCCTTTCTTCATCAGTAACACTGTCGTTCAATCCACATTATGAGTTCACCGCGCCATAATCATGCCTAGTCATTTGTCACTGCTTTCGAATTCTCACTCAACAATACAATTGTCCAGGCATTAGCAATAACATTTTCTACCCTGAACCAAATCATCCTAGAGTGGGTTTTTGGACACTTTACAATCTGTCCATTCGTGAGGTTCGCCCATCTTATTCGCCAGTGCACACTGATCCAGTGACCAATACTTCAGAATCCACCAATTGAGAAAAAATGACCTTTCTTCATTA